TACAAGATGAAACCAGAGCTTAGCAATCATAGCACAGCCACAGAGCTATTTACGGTGTAATTCTGTGACCTTAACTACCTGCTATAGTGTGTTTTGTACTTTTCTTTCGTACATATTTCCCGTTAAGTAATACATTTTTGTTTCGTCTATTTTGTGACATTTATATATAATTTTGAACTGTTTTCCCTGTCTTGTCCGGCTGTAATATAATCAATTTGTTCGTTCTTTGTAGCACTAATGGCGAAGACGGTCGTTTTTGAAACGTTTGCAGATTAAAATGTTCACCACAGCTTTGGTTATCCTTTCTCTCATAAGATGAAAAGGAACATAAATAAATGGATAGACAGATCGATAGATACATATGAATTGATAGATATAGATATAGATGTATGAATATATATTTAAGTATTTTTCAAAATTTTATCCATCTATTCATTTATCCTTAGCCACATATGCATATACGAAGGGCACTTATTAAAGATTTTCCCTGAACCACTTAATGGTACACATCTCTATATATGCATTGATTCCCCTAACTCATAACATGTTTTCTGTTACAGCGGTGACGGTGCGGTAAGATGTGAAAATGGAGCCAGTAGATTATTAAGCAGTGGTCAGGTTTGTATACTTGAATGGCCGCACACCACAAGAGACCTTCGATGGAATGAAAGCAATTTATGGATAGGATGTTCCATCATATGACATTGTTTAAACATTGGCATCATCAGTTCAGATGTAGTCGCAGATCGGTGGAAGCGACCCCTGTCAGTTAGTCTAAGATGTCAAGATTAGTTGTAGGTCTGTGGACAAAATGATTCATGATTATCTGCATATACAAAAGTTGTCTGCTCGATGGCTCTTTTATCTATGTGCCAAGAAAACCAGGAAAACTTTTTTTGGATAAGATGAAACTTGGGTCCATCACTACGATCCAGAAACTGAGGCCCAGTCAAAACAATGGAAGCACCTTGACTCATACTCCCCCACCCGCTCCATGTGTCACACCCTCGGCAGCCAAGGTCATGCTCACAGTCTCTCAGCGTGCAGTAGTGATGAGAGGTCCTGTGGCTAGCCTCCCTGATCCTCCTTATTCTCCTGACGTCACAACCATCTGACCATGATGTCATTTTTGAAGGGTGAACGTTTCCAGGATGATGAGATACTGATTTCTAAAGTCACTTCATGGCTTCAAATGCAACCTTCAACAAACGAGGAGTCCACAGCTGCATAAAACGGGAGAAGTGTGTCACTCTTGGCGGGACCGATGTAGAAAAAGACTAATAACCGTGCAATATTTCATTCCTGTCCGTCCATGGGAAGTGAGTCAAGGGAAATTGTTAAAGAGTGTCTACAAATACACGCTCGTTCAAAAAGAGAGAGAGAGAGAGAGAGAGAGAGAGAGAGAGAGAGAGAGAAAATGGAATAAGAGAGAAATGCAAGAAAGCCACACTTGATACCCAAAGGTGCATAACCACGTCAGCATTTTAACGTAACTACGCCTCTTCACACGCGAGAAAGGCTGAGCTCGCATGTCTTCTAAGATGCCTCGGGCTCTTTACGAGACAGTTTCGCGAGAGGGAGGAATGGAGGGGGGAGGGGAGGTACGTGGGTAGTGGTGAAGGGGAAGATAAACGAGGGGGAAGGGGCGAAGGAAGATAGGTTGGTAGGAAAAGAAGGGTAGGGTATAGTAGGAAGAGTAAGGTAAGGAATGGGGAAGAGGCAAGGGAAGATAGAGTAGAAGATGAAGAAGAGGGCGAAGGAAGGAGAGGAGAGTAAGGTAAGGGAAGGATAGAAGGGCAAGGCAGATGGGGGTGGGGAGGGAAGGAGAATTAGATATAAAATTAGGACAATTTTGTTCCATTAGAAGAGAGAAATGTCTGTTCTATATTTGTTTATATGCCAGATATTTGCATGATAACAATGGTGATTATAACGACAATAATAATGATAAAAATATCATTATAAAAATAATTATAGCCATAATAATAATATCAATAACAAAAACGATAACGATAATAATGATAATGATAAAAATAATGCTATTGATTAAGTAAATAATAACAGTAAAAATGATAATGATAATAATGATAATGATGATGATGATAATAAAGATGATGATGATGATGATGATGATGATGATGATGATGATGATGATGATGATGATGATGATGATGATGATGATGATGATAATAATAATAACAATAATAATAATAATGATAATAGCAAAAATAATAGTAGTAATAATGATGATGATAATAATAATAATAGTGATAATAAAAAAATAACAATAATGATGATAATACTGAGAGAGAGAGAGAGAGAGAAAGAAAGAATGCCGACAGCAAGATGGAAAAAAAACACTTTTCGTCAGAATTCACGACAATTTAGAAAATTGTTTCTTATCAGGGTAACGGTAAAAAATTGAAAAATAGGGAAAGAGAAATTGTTAGTAAAGTACGACGCACAGGTTTGGGCTGAAGAAGCTTGCAATAATTGCACTTCTGTTGAATGAAGAGGAAACGCTCAACTCTGAAATGAAGTGGTTGTGGACAAAGAATGTTTTGAGGAAGGGAGAAGTTGAAAGTGAGGACCGGACTCTCTACAAAAAGTTGCAAGATGATATTATTTGATAATTAATTATTTTTTCAATACATCAGAATGTCACAATCCAAGTTCAACTATTTGACATTAAACAATTTAGAGAGTGTTAACAGAAACACAGTAACGTGTACACTAAGATGAAAAGGAAAACAGCTACAGTAAGAAATGAAAATAAATCGTGACGTTTCGAAATCATCACGAGTTCCTCTTCAGACGAATACTTTTTGGAATAATATTCGTCTGAAGAGGAACGCGTGAAGAGTTTGAAACGTCACGATTTATTTTCATTTTTTACTTTGGATTTTTTCCTTTTCGTAGACTGTTAAAAAAAAAAGAAAAGAAAAAAAAGAAAACACTACTTTTTCGGAAAACAATTAGAAAGAATGACTGGTTATGTGGTTAAGGCAGAAGTAATCGAAATAGGATCTTTTTAAATCACGTTTATTTTACGATATTAAAAGATAACACAGACATACAACTTTTTTAAATTTGAACTTCTATGTATATCTACCATCTTCGTTCGGATCCGCTCTTGGATAACGTCAAGATATATTTACGATTTTTTTTGTCGTAGTGGGATATTACAACGTGATATTTGATTCAGGAAATTCTCGGACTTTCTATCTGTCTCTCTGATCAGTGTTACCAACTACATTTTTCAAAATCCGCAAAGCTAATACTATGTCTTAAGTCCCGGGCTTAAAGAAACTGAAACGAAGGTAGCCAGGTTGCGATCACTTCATTTCTATCGGTTAGAGTTGATAGAAAGGGACGGATGAGAAATGGTATCTATGTTTCTGACGAAGATGTAATCGATACCGGTCAGATACATCTTTTGTGTTGTGAATATATATATATATATATATATATATATATATATATATATATATATATATATATATATACATATTTAAATTTGTCGCAATACGTCTTATTCTAATAGATGTTCATGAATGTACACTATACTCATCTCCGTCCACCTATATGGGTACCTACAGACACAAAGACACACACGCAGGCATATATACATACACGAGTATACGCTCACATACACACACACATATAACAACAGACGCACCCATACACACACACCTAAACGCTCTTAGGTACACACTCACACACATGTACCTACGAAAACACACACACGGATGCACATACACGTGTATACACTCACACACACATATGTACATACACACTCACATGTAAACACTCTGGAGCAAACCCCCGATCATGGGGACGAATCCCCCAAAGGAAGCCCGATAACTGCAATGTGCATTTATGAACCCTTGCATAGACACAGACCAAAATGTACAAACACACATGTATAAGTACATGTATAGATAAGCAAAATAAAGAAAAATTGTTTGGTTTCGTTTGACAGCTTCTTTGAGCCCGGGGGATTGAAGTACATTCGAAACCGGGTAAATACATTTTCTGCATTGTGTTTTTCTACTTTTGTCGCAATGAATTTGTTTCAGGGCGAGACGGGGGTGGAAAGAGAGAGAGAGAGAGAGAGATACAGAGAGAGAGACAGATAGACAGAGACATTTGTCTTAAAGAGAGATACATGAAGCCAAAGTAAAAAGAACGGATGGTGCCTTTTTTTTTCCTCTTTGGGTGCGTGTGCATGCGTGCGCGTGTGTGTGTATGTGTGTGTGTGTGTGTGTGTGTGTGTGTGTGAGAGAGAGAGAGAGAGAGAGAAATGGATATACTACCTATGTATCTTTGCGTGCGTGTACAATCGTTTTATAGATTGCTCCTAATATCCTTATGAATTCGCGTGCGCATGCGTCCTCCGCGGCGGCGTAAGCACACACAGGAAACTAAATGAGCAGACGGAAAAGAGGACCAAAAGCAACAGAGCTGATATATTACCTCTCTGCTGTTGGCAACGAGAGGATAATCTCGCTAATTGCTCAGGCTTGATTTGTTTGTGGAGGGAATAAGTATGTTTGTTTGTTTGTTTTTTTTTTTTTTTTTTTTTGTCTCGGTGTGTCGATCCATCTAATTCATTTGCGGTTTTTTTTTGTCTGTGTATTTGTTTGTTTCTCTCCTTTTTTGGTCTGTGTGTGTGTTTGTTTGTATGTCTTCCACTTTTCTCTCTGTCTGGTTCTCTCTTTCTCTCTCTTTCTGCCTGTTTATTTATTTGTCTGTCTGCTTCTCTCTCTCTCTCTCTCTCTCTCTCTCTCTCTCTCTCTCTCGCTCTCTCTCTCACTCTCTCTCTCTCTCGCTCGCTCTCTCTCTCTCTCTTCTTCTTCTTTCTCTGCCTATCTGTCTCTTCCTCTCTCTTTTCCTCTCTCTCTAAAGTGCGATCAGAGTTCACTTTATTTAAAGCTTTATCAAATGTTTCGGGCAAAGTTAAAAATGTTTAATATCAGTTTTATTCTATTCATAATTCA